TCTTCACGGGTCAAAGTGTATGGCGTGGCACCTCCGGTTTGCGTTTCTCATTGAGCTGACCATCCACGAATTCTAAACGAGCTTCCGTGTAATACCAATTTTTAAAAAACAGTGAATAGTTCTGGTGTCTGATGCGTTTCATAAAATTGGTATTACACAGGAGCGAGTTTTGTATTTTATCTATTACTTGCCTTTTATAAAAAAAATTTAAACCTCTGAGACCTGCATCACTTCAGGCTTTCCTCCCACATTAAGCTGACACGCTGTGATATAACTGTAATGCTGTTAAAAGCGGCGTTAAACCCAACTCACTCACTCACTCAATTAACAGTAATAATCAGTGTAAAAAGTAGAGCTGACCAGGCCCAGTGGCAGACATCTTCCCAAGGCAAGAGAGTTAACTGTCTTGAAAAGTCCAGTTTCCATCCTTGCCGAACTAGGCTGGAATTACTTGGCTCGATCGTAGCACCACCAGTGGCTATTACCAGTTATGTCCCTTCTAAGCCTCTCCTATGGACCAATCAGATTCCACCTCTCGTATCACTTGCGTTTGCTTCACACAAAATGGTGGTGCCCGGTCAAGATGATCTGATCAATAAACAAGATCTATATTGTCATAAAACGGGTCTTACATCGTGAAATGCATCAAATCACGTGAGCACCTTGATTAAAAACATGAAAAGATTTGGAAAATATCTAGTTGGCGATGCAGATGCTTTGCAAATCCTGCAATCGACCGAAATCTGCACGACTGTTTATGAACCGGATTTCAATTTCAGTGTGCGATTTTGATTGGACTATGCATTGACTCGTGAGTCCAGCCAAAATGTAACTCCATAATACCAGCCTAGTTCAGCAAGGGTGGAAACTGGACTTTTATAGTCAGTTAACTCTCTTGCCTCGGGAAGATGGTGGCAGAAAGATTACTGATGTCATTTGATTGTAATGTCATGGCATCTGATGATGTCACAATGGCCTGCAAAGCATTGTCATGCATTTTCATTGAAGCTTAAGTCTCATAGGAGATACCTCTTGATCTCACCCAAGCCATATCTCCTGTGGTAGCCTGTTTGGGATGATAAATATATGCTTGCTCTGACCATGTGGCATAGACTCAGGGATTTTATGAATCTTCACTCACTTGGTATCACTGAGGCCTGATGTCATGTATAGGATGTGTATTTTTTAAACACTGACCATGGGCCCATCTTAGCATCTATGTTTCTGTTACAAACTGTACTAAATGAGTGTGTGATGCCCTCAAATGGGTATTATTCTGCCCTTGAATCTCCCTTAGAAGGACCTGTGAAGATCTGGGTCAGAATAGGTCTTGAGCAACCCATGCTTGCCGTAAAAGGCGACTATGCTTGTCGTAAGAGGCGACTAATGGGATCGGGTGGTCAGGCTCGCTGACTTGGTTGTTGCATGTCATCATATCCCAATTGCATGGATTGAAGCTCGTGATGTCAAGCACTGGATTGTCTGGTCCAGACTCGATTATTTTACAGACCGTTGTCATACAGCTGGAATATTGCTGAGTGCGGCGTTACACAACAAACCAACCGACCAACCCAAAGAAGGAGCCAAGCTTGCATGTTCTGTTACACAGAATAATAGTGGGTGTGACTCGTCTGTGACTTAACGATCGACTTACAAAATACGCTGACGATGCATAATTGAATCGGATCCGACCGCTTGTCTGGTACTTAAGTTGTTCGCAAGCAGTGACTTCTGTCTAGACACAAACAGGAAACTGGCACGAGATAGCGCACAATCAGGTCAGGCTTCATATAAAGGATTTCTTCTTTTATCAGTTTTGTTTGGTAATTATGTGATACAAATCTTAACAGGTGTGTCTAGGTATCACTAGAGCCCAGACGTTTTTGTTTTATTTTAGGAAAAATCGTGAAGCACTTTCACAGTGCAATGTAGTTCTACATCTTGTGTAAGTCTATGTTTTAGTGTGGACTTAAATAACCCCGGTGGAGATTGTTCTGTGCAGGAGAACGCCTATCAGTTAGTGAGAATGTTATTTTCAAATCTCCTTGAAAGAAGGATCTTAATAGCTGCCATGTGCTCCCAATTTGAAGCTGGTGTTAATCGATTTTAGGCAGTATGTGAGTTTGCATATAGTGGAAGGTATTAGTGAGTGAGTGAGTTGGGTTTAACGCCGCTTTTAACAGTATTCCAGTTATATCGCAGCGTGTCAGCTTAATGTGGGGGGAAAGCCCGAAGTGATGCAGGTCTCAGACGTTTACCACTTCGGTGAAACCCACGAGCACGGGTATGGTGCTGACAAACCTAGAAACATAATCGGGGCGAACTGGGATTAGAACCCACAATCATAGGTTTCTGGCGTGCCCAAGGGACACAACTCTGCACAGCGATTCGCGGTGCCTTAGACGACTGGGCCCCCCGTGCCCCCTGGAAGGTATTAATGCTTGCAGATCCAGACAATTTATACAAAAAAACAAACAAATCACCTTTATTGTGTTTAATGTTGTGAAATGCTAAAACAAATTCAACAACTTCACCCCAGCACATCAGGAACTCTTCACATTCAATAGTTTATTGGCGGGATCGGGTGGTCAGACTCGCTGATTTGGTGATGCATGTCATCGTACCCCTATTGCGTAGATCGATGGTCATGATATCAATCACTGGATTGTGTGGTCCAGACTCGATTATTTACAGACCGCCGTCATATGGCTGGAATATTGCATTGGGTGTAGTTTGGTACAAAAGGTAGTTCGTGTAGATAAGGGACTTGTTTCTTTATAATGGAGACTCCTTGAAGAATCGACCGCCTCCGTGGTCTAGTGGTAGAGCGTCCGCCCGGAGAGCGGAAGGTCCGGGGTTCCATCCCCGACCGCGTCATACCAAGAGACGTTGAAAGATTGTATTTGTTGTTACCCTGTCTGGCGCTCGGCATTAAGGGGCTAAAACAAGGACTGGTCGGCTCGGAGTCAGTATACTGTGTCTGAGTGGGGTATTCATGTTAAACTGCGACATGGTATCTCAGTGAGCTAGCACTATAAATCGGCATCAGTGTGGACTAGTACAAGCAGCCACACACACTGCATGTCGCTGTAGAAGTGCAATAATCTTGGATGCGACGTTAATTCCATTTCACCTCACCTCACCTCACCTCACCTCACCTCACCTCACCTCACCACTATTGTCCTCTCAGGCTCAGTGACTCATGGCGTGTCACCAAGTGGATTGTTGAAGACTTAATTATTTATAGGCAACCTTGATAAAACAGTTTTGTGTTGAAAAACAAACAAAACAATACACACAAGAAACTTTTCAAAGTGAATGAGGGGATCAGGTTTTCTGCTGGTTTCCATGAAGTGACACCAAGATTGAGTGTCTCCAAACTACTTTAGACATATTTCAGTTGCATAATGCAGATTGTGTCAGTTTAATATGGGAGGAGAGCCCAGACTGAAGTCTACACACCGTGGGGGGGACGGGTGGCCCAGTTGACTAAGGCACTGCAATTCGCTGTGCAGAGTTGCGTCCCTTGGGCACGCCAGAAACCCATGATTGCAGGTTCGAATCCCGGTTTGCCCCAATTATGTTTCTAGGTTTGTCAGCACCATACCCCTGCTCGTGGGTTTCACCGAAGTGGTAAACGTCTGAGTCCTTTCACTTCGGGCTTTCCTCCCACATTAAGCTGACACGCCGTGATATGACTGGAATACTGTTAAAAGCGGCGTTAATCTCAACTCACTCTCACTCACTCCAAATGGAGTGAAACCAAATACACTGTCACATTCTGGGAGAGATTTTATAAATGCTTCCATCAATTTCTGAGTTTTCACTCTGTATCTTTACCGCCAGAGCTCTTTTTGTGAAGTATTTGCTGTAACATGCTGCTTGAGGGCTTTGAAATTTGATAAAGGAGGATGCTTATTAAATCATACACGAGTTCAGTTTGTTGACATTGATCACGTGGAAGTGAACAAACTCAGTTCAAACATCGATGAAGATAAAACATTTTTTAAATAGTAGTTACTAGGCAATTGTGGTCTCTTTCACACTGCAGTTTTCTGTAAGAAATCGGTAATGTACATGACAAAATACAGCCTCATGTAAATATTTGGTCTTATGTACATGTTGTACTATTAAGTATTTTATGAGTGCTTCTAGCAATGTCGGGGGCACGTATTGGACCTGGGCTTCTAGCTAGATCGGGGGCACTTATTAGAGCAGGATGCGTTATACATTGAATACGGTATTTGTTGTTACTTTGTCTAATGTATATATTGTACTACTAAGTATTTTATGAGTGCTTCTAGCAATGTCGGGGGCACATATTGGAGAAGGGCACGTCATACATCGAATACAGTATTTGTTGTTACTATGAAGTATTTTATGAGTGCTAGATTGGGGGCACATAGTTGAGCAGGGCACGTCATATATCGAATACAGTATTTGTTGTTACTATGAAGTATTTTATGAGTGCTAGATTGGGGGCACATAATTGAGCAGGGCACGTCATACATGGAATACGGTATTTGTTGTTACTATGAAGTATTTTATGAGTGCTAGACTGGGGGCACATAGTTGAGCAGGGCACGTCATACATCTAATACGGTATTCGTTTTTACTGTATTGGGGCACGTATTTGAGCAGAGCGCATATTACATCAGATACGGTATTTGCTGCTACAGTGAAGTATTTTATGACTGCTTCTAGGTGGAACGGGGGGCACGTATTTGAGCAGAGCGCATATTACATCAGATATGGTATTTGCTGCAACAGTGAAGTATTTTATGAGTGCTTCTAGGTAGAACGGGGGCACTTATTGGAGCAGAGCGCATATTACATCAGATATGGTATTTGCTGCAACAGTGAAGTATTTTATGACTGCTTCTAGGTAGAACGGGGGCACGTATTGGAGCAGAGCGCATATTACAACAGATATGGTATTTGCTGCTGCAGTGAAGTATTTTATGAGTGCTTCGAGCTAAGATGCTGTTCTGCTGTTACAGGTGCTGCGCCTGCTGCAGGACTCCTCCGACACCTATGCATCTGAATGTAACGAGTTGAAACAGCTCCTGCATCAGCCCCACCTAATGGTGAGTACATAGCCAATCACAGACAGCCACTGTTTGACTGACAAATACCTTTATCCAATCACATGGAGTTGTCAATTGATTGTCATGCACACATACGATTTTCAGAGTGGGTTGGTCAGACCATGGTGGTACACACAGAGAAAAAGACCTGCGGCCAGGTGTGTCAAAGATCATGGGATCTTCATATGCATACATGGCACTCACTTTTCAGAAATGCGTCCCATACAATCTTTAATACATCTGTGTCTAGTTCTCTATGTCCTAGACTGTCAGTTTGTCTTTAGATACATTACTTGTTGAGACGTTTACAGGAAATCGTTTTTTTGCTATTTGTTTTCACAAAATATTCTTCGTTTATAAGAACGGGGAGCAAAATTATTTCGGTCAGCCGATATCGTTTATGTTTGATGTTAGTGTGGCTCAGTCATTTAATTGTCTTTTTTTCAGTCAAAATTTAATATTGAAAATCTGTATTTGATTGAAAATATAAATTTTTGGCAGAAATAAATTTCAAATCTGCCCGGATAACATTTTATTACTTTTTTTTATTTTTTGTCTCTTGCCATTGTCATTCCATGTTTACCAGGAAAATTTGAAACAATAAATTGAGACAATCGGGCCTATGAACAGTGATTTTTGCAAACCTCTCCATCAGTTTGCTGTGAGCAGTGAGGCTTATTTATAAGTTTGTAAGACAACTGATTGTCTGGAGCCCCCTGAGGGATGTGCATATAGAATTAGTGGTCAGTGTACCAACACCTGAGGCAAACACATATGAGATTAGTGGTGCAGCTAGTATCACCTGCAGCATGCAATTGCAAGATTCCCCACACCTAGGTGTCCCTGTTATTTTCGTGTACATGAAACATTCATTGTGTGATGGACCCATGAAGATACAGGTAGAATAGGTCTTCAGCATCCCAGGCTTGCCGTAAAAGGCGACTATGCTTGTCGTAAGAGGCAACTAACGAGATCAGGTGGTCAGACTCGCTGACTTGTTTCATGCATGTCATCGATCCCAATTGCGTGGATCGATGCTCATGATATTAACCACTGGATTGTCTGGTCCGGACTGAATTATTTACAGTCCGCCGTCATATAGCTGGAATATTGCTGAGTGCGGCGTTAAACAACAAACCAACCAACCAAATCATTGTGGGATGTATAAGCTGCCGCCAGACTACACACATTACAAATCCGTTGTGTCAGATAGGAAGCGTGAGCTGTTGATATTGACCAGCTGAAATGTCTGTAAGACAACTGATTACAGAGTGTCTGGATCCTCTGAGGGATGTGGGTATAGATTTAGTGGTAAGGATACCACCACCTGAACAAGACGTACATGAGATTAGTGGTACAGCTAGTATCACCTGAAGCGTGTGGTTGCAGGATTAGTTGTATGAAAGCAGCACCTGATCCCGCATAATCTTAAGTTGTTCTGGCTTCATGGCCCATGTGATTAAGATGTGTTGGTATGCCTCCAGACACTGTGAAGAATGTTTATCTGTAACAGGACATCAAGGCTGCGATTTTACAGACTATAGTAATAGTGATTACCGTATTTGACGTAATAAGCGCCCATGGCACTCTCAAAATTAGAAATAGGGCTCTTATTAGAATATAATTTTTGTGAAAAAAAAAAAGAGTTGAAAGATCGTAAATTTTGTGGTTTTTGCTGACAGCCTGAAATGATACAAAAGAAAAGTCTGTGCGTATTATACACGACAGATATATTTTCCAGAATTTAATTGCCCATAATTAAGGGTGCATATAACACACGAGTATGTATTATTCATGAATAAATAAGTGTACATTAATCAAAATCGAAAGGGGTGCTAATTTGGATTGATCACTAGCCAATATATTAGCAAATATCGCCATGGGCGCTTATTACGTCGAATACGGTATGTTTATATTACAGCTAACCCACATTCCCTTATTTGTGATATATGTGACCCACCATGATAGAAGGGACCTTAGGGTGCTAGGACACAATTTAGATATGATGTTGTACTTTCTTCAGTGAAGATCGATATGTGTGTTCTTGTATCTCTGTAATAAATATGAATTGAAGCTTGTGAATCATATTTTTGTGTTCTGAAGGAACTGTAGTTTTAAAATAAAATTGTGATTTGTCACCCATCAGGCCCCGTAACTCATGGTTGCTCACATATTATGATGTCAATCCATTTATGACAAACTCTGTGAGCTTTTTTTAGCTTTTACCCTGACTGGGGCACAGCCTGGGTTTTACGCAACACGCAAATGTGTCCAGTACGCACAAATGTAGAGAATGGACGCAGAAAAAATATACTGCGTCACAGGACACACCGACATGGGTACAATGTGTGAAGCCCATTTCTGGTGTCCCCCGCCGTGATATTGCTGAAATATTGCTAAAAGCGGCGTAAAACCATACTCACTCACTCACTCACAGGACACACAAGAATATTCATGTACCTACAGCACATCAAGAGCAGTTCTGGGGGTCTGTCATTTCACCCATCAATGACCACTGTCCACGTGATCATTGATTTATTCCAGGTTCTGAAGTAATTATCTAAATGTACAGTACGCTACACCCTGTCAAAGCTTGACAGGTCCCTCATATTTCCTGCAATGACCCTTAAAATGAGTTATTGGGAGTCCCCAAGACCCCCACTTTTGTTAGTCAAGGTTAAATCCTGGGTGAGGTGGTTACAGGCGGGATTGTGTCATAGAAACACACCGGTGGGGGTCATTTTTCTTGCAGTCAGCCATATCACTGCCTGGCCATTTACGATATTGCTTACTTTGCCATAAAACTACATTCACTTACTCCCTTGACGATAAAAGGAATTACTGTAAGGGTCAAGGCCAAATATTCTGAGACATCGCAACTTGGTCTGCAGATTGGTGAGAGTGAGTCGGGTTTAACGCCACTTTTAACATTAATCCAGTTATATCGCGGCATGTCAGCTTGATGTGCCACCCTGCAGATTGGTAAACTTGAGGCATGCCGGGATTCATTTGTCAAGGATTCGGATCCCAAAACTGATTATAGTTCACAGTAAAACCCAACTCACAAATTCACACACCCATTGCTGAAAACTTTCATATTGAAGCCAGAGCAGTTCAGTTGCTTTGTCTGGGAGTCCCATGATGATGATGCAAACATCAGCGTGGATCTCCGATTGACAAATGGTATTGTTGGCCTCCGGAATCCTGCATCTACGTGGCAATTATGTAGAATTACAAACTAGAATTGTCATGAAAATCCATTTTCGTCCCAATATCTGTATTGTACCACTCACAAAATCATAAATGTTCTCTAACAACTGCAGAGTCAGAATGAATAGCATAGCTGTCTGTTCTGTGGCCAAGAAATTGTCTTGTATAGTCCGATTTCCAGTTTGCGCTAAGGTTGAAAGAGTGGTCTCCCTTGCTGAAAGATAATCAATGGCTCTCCTCTGAGAGAGATTCACACAACTGCACGGTCATAAGAGAGTACAACTAAGGGGCAGTAACTCTTGTCACTTTAGGTGCCTGAATCTGGCATTGACTTGTAGATATGGAATCTGCGTATGATGAACTGTACTTAACTATAATTGAAGTAGTTAGAGCCCTTCTAATAACGACCCTGAATTATCGTGATTATTGAATGTGTGATCCGGGCTGAGGCTGGGATGGGTAACTCGGGGTCTCGGGTCGGGTGGGTACTGAGCAGGACCCGGGTACCCACAGGGATACCCGGACCTGTGGTTAGTCACTTGATATACCGTATTTGATATAATAAGTGCCAAGGGCGCTCTCAAAATTAGAAATTGAGCTCTTATTAGAATATTATTTTGGTGAAATTCAACAGAGTTGAAAGATCGTGGTTTATGCCGACAGCCTGAAATGTTTATATACGACAGATATATTTTTCAGAATTTAATGTCCCATAAATAAGGATGCATGTAACACACGTATTATACACTAATAAATAAGTCTTGTGTACATTGATCAATCAGAAGGGGTGCTAATTGGGATTGTTCACTAACCAATATATTAGCAAATATCTCCGTGGGCGCTTATTAGAGCGAGGCGCTTATTACGTCGAATAAGGTATTGTTTAATGACAATAGCAAGCAAACTCGATGGTAACTATACAAGTCACTAATGTAGGCATTTCTTTCTGACTATGCACCCATTCCTTGTGACTTGTATATGTTTGAATAAAGATAAAGTTTCAGTTAACTTCAGTGTACGCATGACCAGATCTTTAGACCTACAGCGGATATCCAAGTAGAGTCGGGTTATAGGGGCTCAGGTCGCTGGTAGTACATTTGAACTCTACCCAGCCCTATAGTCCAAACTCCTCACAGCGATAGTCCCTTTGCGGAGCTCTCTATACTATGGCTGCCACCAGTCAAAACTCCCCACTGTGATAGGTGGCCCCAACCGTGCATAGTGTTGAACTCGCAACCGAATGATCGTTATGTTTACAAACAAGTGACGACTGTCGTGACGCCGAATACACTTACCGCTGATAAATTACTGTCTTTGTTTGTCAATTTGAATTTCTATTTCATTAAAAGTATCATGTTATTGATATAGTAAGAATGTAAAGTAGAAGTTGGTTGATTTTCCGTTAGTCTGCAATCTCGAACCAATCTGATTATTAGAACAACAAAGTAAATTCATCTGGAAAACATGGTCAGTCGTAAACCTTTTCAAAATGAAATATGATGGCATTCCCAAAGACATAAACAAAAGTATGAACATTACTACATTTGGGGTGAGAGGGCAAATTTCAAGATGTAATAGCCGCGCCCAATCTGGTGGCAGCGATGTTACCGAGAGTGTAACGAAGGTGTCACGCGCTGGGAAGGAGCTTGCCCTATAAACCTGACTTATTCAACTGTATTTTGTCCCTCATCAGAAGGGCAAGTTTGAGACCAGTATTGAAATTTAAGCAAGAGTATAAAAATAAGTGTCAAACCATTATCTTGCTAATGTATTTGTTGCCACGGTAACTA